AGTGCTGCGCTCGAAGTGAAGTGAAGACTTCGCGGGCTTCATGGCCAATTCCTGGTTCGCCTCTTGTGCCTCTCAGGTCGGCGGATGCATGTTTTGCTAACGTGCCGGGCGCGCCCTCGCGTGTCCAAGGTGCTGACGAGCACTGGAAGAGCGGACGACTTGAGCTTCTTTGAAGCTGCGCAGCTGGCGGAGGCCGTGCCGGTCGCTGGTTTTGCGTTGTGTCGAAATCCTGGGTGTGCATCGTGTGTAGCCTAGGTGTGGGGGAGTAAGGCAGAATGGGACTGAGCGGTTCAGTTCTGCACGTTCCCACGGAAGGTTGGGATGTCAGCAAATAAATGCGTCGCAGAACGTCGATGCGAAGTGTCAGTCCGGTTTCCGTGGCGCTTTGCCTGAATTGGGGGATGCCCCAAGTTGAGGTGTTATTGGAGAAGGAGTATCATGGCCGAGGTACCTTGCGCCCGACGTGCGCTGCTACCTCGAGGCAGCTTGAAGTGAGGCTTTTGTGAGATTGCTTTTCTTGCCGCCGAACGGTCGTTTAGGTGGGCGATTTTGTCCATTTCCGGGCCACTTGCAGCGAGCAGTCGCAGACAAAGGTCCGACGATTTCATGTTTTGCAACATTGCATGTGTTTGCGCTATGTGCGTTTTGCGCTTGGCTGGGCTGCAGACCTTTGTGGAGCACATGGCTTTTGTCATCAAACCAGACAGGCACCAACCACTGTTCCGTGTTCTTGATTCATTTTGTTTTGCAGATTTTGTTGCTTTGAGGCTGGGAACATTCCTCGCCTGTGAATCGCTTCGCGCCAGCGCGCCGCCAGAAAGCGCTCATCTGAACGTGGATCGCCTCTGCCAGAATATGGCAGGGGTCCGCTTCTACAAGATGCAACCGTTCCACAAAGACTCGCTGCAGCTTGATGGCCAGCTTCGTGCAGGGTGTGACGGCAACTCAGACCTGCGCATCAAAGCGTGTTTAGCTTTTTGTTTCCCCGGCAGATCTTAGGAACTTCCCATTGGGATAATTTGGGATGTAGGAGGGGCTTGTGGTGCAAGAAAATGCCAACAAGACAAGCTGGAGTTTAGCTCGTGATAGTAGGTGAGAGTATGTTGTATTTCTATATATTCTGAGAGCTGGCTTTGCTTCGGTTCGCAAGGTTTCCGCTGCCTCTTCCAGCATACTGCCCTGGCACATTGGTGGAATGCGAGCCCTGAAGCCGTCATGGGCGTTGTGACGTGGCTGGCCTCTCACGCGCAGTGCTGCGGAGAACTATGGCAATTAACTTTTGACGCGATACTGTTGTGTTTGCGACATGTCCCAGACTGGAATACCAGAGCGCAGCTTGCAGAGCAAGTCTTGACTTGGCTGCACACGGATGCCTTGAGTGACTCAGAGAGCTTGTACGCCTGCCGCTGTATAATGTATTGCGAGCCCTTCCTACACTTATATGATCTGCACGACCGAGTTTTGCAGCGCATCGCGCGCAAGAACAAACAAGCTACGGATGGGACACGGTTGTATCTCCGGGTGACGGCAGAGAGTGCCATCTATATGTGGTCCATACTCGGTGCAGGACCGTTGCTTTGGTATCCAAACTGGTGCATTGATGTCGCCCTTGAGTCGGCGCTTGTGTGGCTAAAGCTCAGGGATGGAGCAGAAGCGAGTCGGTGACCATGGCTTTGATATGTTGGGATTCCATACCGGACATGGGGGCCCCCGGTGGACCAGACTTGTGGAGGCCAAGAGACCGCCCACTATCGTTTCTGGCGTGGCATGGTTCGATCTTCAAAGAGAGCCAACATGTTGGCTCTGCGTGTTGCCAAAGCGTCGTCGTGCCTCAAGACCCATCGGCAACGTTGCAACCCAGCTCCGAAGCTAGACAGCCGTTCTTAGCACGTGGTCTTTTGCTGCTGGTACTCTACACACAGCATCACTTGTAGACCAGCTGCCGTTCTTCATGCTATACCATACTATGCTGTATAGCACACCATACGGCATCACTGCAACACAGTTACCTATGCTATTCAGTGTTGCTATGTCATAGCAGATGCTGATAAGCGTGACAAAGATTGACAAAGCCTGAAAGTTTTTGGCAACCGACATGCCCTACACCCTGGCAGGTTTTAGAGCCTCCCAAAATGGTTCTGACTGGGTTCAGGGCCTAGGGCCTTGTGTTGTAATGGATACTGGGCAGAGATTTGTGGGTTCATCGAGGTCAACATTACATGTGATTTTTGTCAATCGTCGCATGGAACCCGGTGGAAGCAGTTTAAGTATATTGATCATTTTTAGGGCTGTCACCGCATAGTAGAAATAGTTTTACATCTATGTTGCTAAATTTTCTTAGGCAAGCAGGTTTACTAATTATACTAACCCTAAGCCCTTACTAATTATACTAACTCTACTAATTATACTATAGGCCCTAGAGATTTCAGAGATTTCTGAGACGGCAGCAGCAGGCAAGCAGGTTTAAGTAAATTGAACTTTTTGCACCCCCTGGCATCCACAACCCATTGCAAAAAGTGGCTACGCATCTTCTGATTTCAGGGATTTTTGAGTTTTCTAGTATAGACAAATTTATTAAGAGAGTGGTCACAAAATCCCTGAAAGCAGGAGATGCAGAACCTACGCCAATCTGGATTGGGGTGACGGATAGAATTTCTGGGGACATAGTTTTGGTTGTGAGCCGAGGAACATCTTTTCTTGCACCGTTGAAATCGAAAACGCCTGCCCAAAACGCCCTCTGTGAATTGGTTGCGAGCCGAGGATCATTGCTTTTTTATCCCGTGCCCAAAATGCCTTCTTTGAGTTGGTTGTGAGCCGAGGAAAATCTCTTCTTGCACCGTTGGGATCGAATAGCCTGCCCAAAACGTCTTCTCTGAGTTAGCTGCGAGCCGAGGAACATCTTTTCTTGCACCTTCCCCTTCGTTTTACAAGAGTTTTGCAACCCACAACTCATTACTTCGATTTACACACTTTTACCTAGACCTTCCCTTCAACTCTGAAAGTTTTCAACCTGACCGAAGATGAAGCCCTGCTAATGGGAAAGTTGCTTCCCCGACAGCCAATATTTGCAGTTGTTTGCTATGGTGACTCGCATAAGTTGCATTCCTTAACAGAACCCAGCGTGAGAATGGACTCACACTCTTCAGTTGGGAATGCGCTCGACTTGGAGCCCATTGTACCTTGTCCAGTATCGTTGGAGTCTTGGTGCGAGAGGCGAGAGTTGAGTGCCACACTGTATATTGTTGCAAATTTGTTGGACTCTTTGGCCAAGTCACTTGATCTCAATTTGACCGTTCTATTCTCGAGCTGTCCAATTTTGAAGCTCAAAATAGGGGACGACCCTCCGGATTGGATTTTATTGCGAGCTTCCGTCCTGCACAACGTCTCCGTCGCAGTTGCGCGGAGTCAACGCTACTTTTCTCAAGCCGAACGAGCTCGACGGCAAGCACGAGAAAAAGGCTCTGCTCTCCATATTTCTGCTTTTGCGCCGAATGGTGTCCCGGGATTGAACATCCTGAAAGTGTTACAGCTAAGTTAGGCAATCCTCCGGCTCGTGCTTCCTCGTGTTCGCTCATGAACATACCTTGGCACTTTGGGCCTGCTGAAGCCTAGACACTTCTATGCGCACCCCGCCTATGCTGGGCTCAGACTGGCCGCAGGGAGGCCGGAAGCAAATCGGAGCCCGAGAAAGCCGGGCCGCCCATCGAGGCTTGCCGACTCGAATGACCGAACCATGGAAAATGCGGAAGAATCATGTTGATAGAGTAGTGTCGCCAGCACTTCGGCCATCGCAGGCATGGACTGGTTGCGCGTCTTCCGCGTCTTCCCTTCGCAGGTGTGCGCCGTACTTCATCATCATGCAATGGCAAGCTTGCGGCGTTCACATAGGGAGTGTTGTACCCCAGTTTCATGCGCGATGACCAATGTCAATGTTGGAGCAGTTAGTAACAGCTAGTAGGACGGGCTCATGGACAATAAACGGTCGTCGCTTATGAAGTGCAGGAGCTGGCAGCCCCATCATCGGACCGTTGCGTTGAGGTTTTCCTTTGATAGAGCCTACTGGCGAGAAGCGTGCCGAGACCACAAAATGGGAGAGGATGTCCGTTTCTGTGCATGTGTCGTGGGAGATGCGATCGAGTGGGTCAGAGAAGTAGCAGGATGTGGGTTGTGCTGGAGATTGCAATCCATGTGTTTCAACTGTATCGTATGTCTTGTCTGTACACCGAGGTTTGTCCGGGCACAGCATTCCACATCTTGTCCAGTCTGAGATGTATCCTGACTTCTTACACAGTAGCAAAGCTGACAAGCGGGCAGATTCCGACACGTTTAACTAGCTGGTGTCAGCAGCGGTGGTTTTTCATGAGCCAGCAATAATTCATGGCGAAAGCCGGCAAAGAAGTTGAAGCAGGGAGCTGAGTGATTCATGTTTCATGGCTTGGCATTCGCGGCCCATCGCACGCCGTACTCCAGCTGTCTGACTCAGGTGTTGCAAGGATCGGTTCCTGATGACCGCGGGGGGCTGCCTGTAGCGGGTCAAGCCGTGCCAGCCGTGCGAGTGAATCAGAGCAATCATTCGATGGCAAGCAGTGCCAGTACCAACTGGGAGGACTTCTGCTGCGCAGCGTCCGGCCGCCCACTGTTTTATCCAGTCGTCCGGCGCTGAGGGCCATCTCCGGGCAGAGCCTCGTTTCTTTCCGTTTGCTCTGCAAGCCGGAAAGGCCCATCCCCATTTTGCCGAGGTTACGCTCGAAGGCATTCCGTACTGCTTCTGGGCTCTAACTGGATCAGCCTTGTTATGCTTCCATGGAGTCGAAATCGTGTCACTCAAGGCTACTCGGCCTGCGCCCCACAGATTGCCTTGGAAAAGCGCGATGCACTGAGCCAAGACTCAGAAGGAGACCCTTTCCCTGAGGTCCTTTTCGAGATGTTTCTCAAAGCCGAAGGGAGTCCAAAGTGTGTTGGTTCCTGAGCCACCGCTTGGGGCCGTGTTTGCGGGCAGGTTTGCCGCTGCTCGACTGAGGTCGTGACCGGTGAGCCCATCGCTTTCTTCCCCTATGTTTGTGTGGCCTTGCAGCTTTGCCTAAAATGGCTTTCGTGGGCATGCCAGCAGACTATTCCAGCATTGACGCATGTGGAATGCACGAGGCATCACTATATGCTGGAGACCTACAAGAATGACCTGAAGGGTCGGAAGTCCATCGAAGAGTCGATCATGGCTCGCTACGGCATGAACGAGCCTGTGCTGCAGTTCAGACATGCTGGTAAATGCGCTTCTGCTGCGTGTTGCCGTCGCTGTTACCTTCTATCCTCCCTTCGAGTCTTTCCTGATCCCGATTTCCCGAGACTAGGATGTGATGATCAGAAAGCGTGACCGTGGCTCTTGTACGTATGTCTTGCTACGACAGCACTTCTGCAGCATCAGGAACAGTACAGTAAGAAGACACAATTGGAGTCACGACGAAAGCCCGGGGGTCCTTTTCAGAGTCTGAGTTCGAGATCTGTTGACCCGGACATGTAGTCCCTGAACCTTTCAGGTTCCGATGGTCACGGAGAGTCCTGAAGAGGCCGGGGCTGGCTGTGTGGCTGGTTGGGGATCATGCTTCTCATGCAAATACTGCCGGGAGTCTGATACGCAGGAGGGCGATGAAGGCTTTATGGAGGACTGAGCTGGCTGGAATGCATGCTGACAGAGAGCACCATGCTCAGTATTGCCGGAGGAGTTCTCGTGCGCTGTGAGCGGCGAGCTTGCGTACGAGCCCTGCTGCCTCTCCAGCGGAACAATTGCCTGGGCCCTGGAATCAATGTGGACTGCTGCGTGTTGTAGTCGTTATTTCGTAAGGCCATTAAGTGCTATGCCTGAACTGTAGAGATCCCCAGTACTGAAACATCCCGAACTTATAGCAGACTCTGATCCCTCTTTGCTTTAGTTCATTAGACCACCGCAGGTCAGCGCTCGGAACATCCCGAGAGGTGGCTTCAAGAAGGCTCGTGGTGATTGCGTGGGTTTTGTTGGGATACAGCCATGCGAGTTGTCCTAAAACGAGGACCTCAAATACTGAACCTATTATTGAGATGTAGTGATTCGGGAATCGTTACCGAGTCCGACATACATACTCGTCAGCAGACATAGCGGGTATGGTGCAGCTTTTTCCTGTTCTGTACGATCTTTAGCAGCTTTGGCATCTTGGCATCAGCATCGCCGTCACCATCATCACCATCACTATCATCATGGCAGTCCTGATCTCACCCACGTCCCTATCGTCGCCAGTGCAATCGGCCACATACTCCGATTTACTGTAATTGAAGCTGTGTCCCTGATAACATAAGTCTCGTATGAAACATTGCAAAGGTCTTGGTATGATCAAAGTCTTCGTTTCGTTCGAGCCTGACGGCCTAGAACTGCGCACCTCGCTTCAAGCAGATTGAAGTGCCCCTGCAGACAGGACCCGAACCGACTGATTGCATGCGCTTTGCACGGCCAGGCGCCTTTGATGTTGTGTTGCTGTCGCTTCCAGAATTCGATCACTACGGTCAGGCTGTGTTCGTAGTCAGTCGTGAATTAGGAGTCTGCTCTAACATGACGAGAGAGCGGCATTGACTCCACCTCAACTGTACGGCATTGGCCGTGCGGAGCAGGCACCGAAGCCGAGCAACGTACTGGCACTGATGATCAGGACGTTGTGCAGCAGATGGAGCTTCAAGAGCCTCTTCAGCTGTGCAGGACGAAATTCCCCAGCGAGTATAAGGCATCTGCTGAAAACGGCTCACTGTTGGTGCCAACTCTGGCGGACAGAAGTGATCGGCCTGGTCGCAAGATATGGTCAGGCTGCTGAGACCAAGGCGAACAAGTCAGGCAGGGAGCTCCCAGTTTGACTTATTGGCATCCTTTCGATACCTTGATAAGTATCGTACACAGCACGAGCACGATGTTGTTTCAATGTTCGGCTCACCCAAGGTGTGGTAAAGCAGCAAGCAGCAACTTGTCACCCTGGATTAAACCTGCGCAGGTGTGGAAATGATTCAGCAGCCGGTCTTCCGAGAATTTGCCGTCGACGCGCAGGTCCACTTTGGCCTAGGTGCGCCCGTGGCTGAGAGCTACTCAGTGCTAAGAGCAGCACGCCAAAGAGGCTGCGACGGCTGCGGGCTCTGGCCCATCCGCGGCCCGGCTTACGAGGCCAGACAAGGCCGCCGCTGTGATGATGATAGCTTTCCCTGAACGCTGGCAGGACGTTGATATCAGGAGTTCTGTGGGATTCCACGTATGCTCGCTCCTGAGTACAGACTCCTGTCGTCTCCTGTTCGGATGCATTCCGTGTAAGTAGTTGTGGTGGTGCCTCGGCTCTTCACTGCGTGGTCGCGTTTGACGCTTGTTGCTTTGTGGTATATTGTGTGTGTGTGCTTGTGTGTGTTGAATTGTGTTGGTGCCTGTACTGTTTGTTTATGGGAATTAGAATGGCAACCAGCATGGAGCAGCGCACTTGAGCACACGAACGAAGATGTTGGCCAGGTAGTAATTCGGTGCCTACCTTGCCCAGGAAGAGGATGGGGACCGGTCGCAGCAGGAGCAGCGACCCAGCAACAAAAAGATCCGCAGCATTAGCATGACTAGACCAGCAGCAACCAGACAAGCAAAGTGAGCGTCTGTAGGACAATCAAATACGCCAGCTGGCAAAAATGCATAGTCATAGATTCATAGACATATCAGCCAGAACACCACGAACTGTACAACACCAACACTGTCACGAACACGAACACTAACGACAGCAACTAACAGACACACACACACACACATGCCCTCAACCAAGCAGTGGCCAGAGCAATAGCAGCAACAGCAACATCAACAACAACAGCAACAACGACAACTACAACGATCGCCACAACCACTGCGGCTGCCGGCGCTGCTGCAGCTTCTGCAGCCCATGGCGCCCTGCCGCCACTGCCCCCACCACCAGGCTCCTGCAACAACAAGAAGAGCAGCTGCTGCAGAAGAAGAGGCATGAACAGGAACAGCATCAAGCAGGAGCAGTCGACACTCCACGCTCGAACCTGGCGCCTGCAATCCGCAAAGAGTCGCCCAGATCGCGACACGAAGGCCCCGGCTCCTTGCACGACTCGACAAAGGATCCAAGCTACCGTTGTTCCTGGGAATGTTGTGGCTCGTTGGCCATGACAACAGCGTAAGGTGAGCCCTGCTACCAGCTGGGTTACCAGAAGCGCTGCCTTGGAGGCTCAACAGAGCACGTCTCTGTCACCGCACTTGCCTTTGTCACGGTTTTAGGGCTTAGAGCGTGGCATAGTTTTGAGGGAACCTGACATCGTTGATTGCATTTACGAAGGTATCTTGCATGCTTGTTTCTGGCGATGGATGGGCAGAGGAATCTCAGTAAAGGTTGTTCTGAACTGCTAATTTCGCACACGCGCAGCAGGGTCTTCTTCTGTCCTCATCTTTGGCCACAGAAGTGTTACTCGTTGTTAGTTGAAAGCCGCCAACACAAGTCGAACATGCTAACGATGGTTCTGCACGATTACCATCATCGTCGTCGACATTGTCATCATTCGTTGTCGTCACCATCATCTTCGTCAGGCTCAGCATCACCTCCATCATCACCACCATCATCATCATCGTCATCATCATTCTCATCCTCATCATTATCATCGTCATCATCACCAGCGTCGATTCAGAACTCAGCATCACCATCGTCGTTGAAATCTTAGTGGCATTTGGATGCAGCTGGTCCGGATCGTTGCTTTCGAAATCTGTTCTGCCGAGAAAAACGATAACCCTCGCCAAGAACTGTACTTGAGAATGCCTGGTCTTGTCCGCATCCACGTTGCTTCACATCGCTCCGTGATGCTGCGTTGCTCAACGGCAGCTCTGGAAGGGTCTCATTAACTTGCCGTCCAGAGCCAGGAGCTGTTTAGGAAAGGCAAGATGTTGTCTCGTTCAGCCTCTGATGAATCGCCAGGTCGGTTCAACCAAGGGCACATGCCGATGAACGCCATGGCGCTCGTGATGTTCGGCGAGTTCTGAGAATTTCGGAGCTTTAGGTCAGTCGCACTGTTGACGTGGACGGATCTTCCTGCAATCCCTAAATGCCAGGACCCAGCTTGCATGGTCGACAGCAGCTATACAGACATATACAGACAGGGAGACGAGCGGAGACGAGTTTCCAAGCAGCGTTCCCGGGATGATCAACGTCACCATAGAAGCGTCTTAAATGCGTATAAAGTGGAAGATGCCGTCTCTTGCGCAGCGCGGTCCAAGATGCTGAGATAGGGTCAGATCATTACAGCAGCATGCAGCAGCCAAGTGAGGGAGCTATGAAGCACTGCCAATCAGAAGGTTGGGTTCGTCGAATCTTGTGGTGGGAGCCGCTGGTTCCGCCGACGTCGCCTTCATGTAGGGGTGCGGCCCCGCGCCTGTGCGGCCCAGTCGGCTCCCTCAGCACACCAAACCATGCAGACGTGACACGATGCTAAAAGCCCCGGATTCTGAGGAAGGCGACTTGGCGATCCATGGTCGCCTTGGAGGAGGTTGGTCCGGCTGCCGACTTCGGATCCTTGTGCCTTGGCTGCGGGCTTCACTTGGACAAGTGCGAGTGGGCGCGGGGTCCTGGCGCTCAGGAGCGCATTTCTGGGCGTGGGCGTGCCGAGCGTTCCGGGCGTGCCGGTCGCCGAGCGTGGAGCCCACCTTAAGGCACAGGCTGTCCACAGAACTGATCCACAGATGAGCGACATCGGCTTTCGGAAGTGCACAGGCGCCACTGCCGCTGCCCACGCCCACTGCAACATCCGCCAGGCAAGACTCCGTTCAGCCGCGACAGTAACGGCCACGGAGACATGAGCATCACGGTGGGAAGGATTGGCAAGGATGGTACCCTCAGCAAGAAGGTTGCCTTCAGGCTCATCTTGTCGATCACAATGACCCGAGATGACAAACGACGCCCAGTGGCGAGGATGCTGAAGCAGCTCGGATGCGAAGTGCTCTCCGACGAGGACGGCGAGGTACCGTGCCCTTGGTTTTGACCAGGCAGCCCGTTTCAGCAGAGATCGGAGTCATCTCTTGCGCAGGCCCGGTACGTGCAGGTGGGCATCAAATCTCAGCCGGTGCTCTTCAAGAGCCTTGGCATGAGAAGAGGCAATTCAAAGGAAACCTCTTCGAGAGAGCACGCGTTGAGTCGAGGATGCTGGTGGAGCTGGGCCACGTGCCTCGCCGAGGGGAAGATGGCCCAGGCCTCAGGTCTCCGGCGTGCTTGGCGATGTTTGACTTGAATGACATTTCCAATGCCTGAGCCTGATCTGACTCCTGTCCTGACAGATTTCTCAGTCGCAGGAAGACTGCAACGAAGCTGAGGCGAATTCATGGTTCAAGTGGTCGAGCAACGCGGTCGAAAGCCGGAGGCTCGCGGTCGGCCCCCCCCCAACTCTACCGAAGCTTCCTTGGCTGCCTTGGCCTTCCATGCCTTGCCCCATATTAAATATTACAATACAGAATAGAATATCGTAGTGTTGACAATTATATATATATATATATAAGACACATTAATATTGTATTGAAAAAACCCTCTTGCCAGGAAGTTGTGGCGGCCCTGTCGGCACCCCGGAAGCCGCCTCGGGCTCCTCGGCAGGCGGGGGTCCCCGCACCCGCAGGGCCTGAAGAGTTGGTTTTTGGCCCTTTATGACGCCAGGAGCCCGAAGACGAAGGCTACCCTTCCATGCCTCGTCCTCGCCTGAAGCCGGAGGCCAGCAAGGGATTTCTGGATTCATCCCCCCAAAAGACCGCCAAAGGGCGCAAGCACCTCACACCAGTCGCCTGAAGTCCCGAACTTCCTCTGTAGCACTGCACCTGCAGGGTGTCCTGTGGCCTCAGGATGCGCAGCTTCTCGTCAACCGTCTCTACAAGGTGCCAAGAAGGCCGGCCTGTGCATATCATCGCTGCGTCTCGGTGTTTTAAGGGAACTGCAAGCCGTTCTGTCTAATCGCTGTGACTCCTTGTTTTTTCGTCGACCTTCGTGAGGATTCTAATCTAAGCAGTCGGCCACGAGAAGGAACGTGGTTTGTGGCAGCAGAGGTTTGTCTGTCTCCCGTTGGCTACCAGTCAATCAGCAGACGACGTAAGATGACGAAGATCAAAGCTAGTTACTGATGCATTCTGGTGAGCTTAAAGTGAAATGCCAGTTGCCTTAGCGCGGCCCAACGCGGGGGAATATGTTTGTGCAATTACTGACTATTGGGGTTCAGCTAAGACAAGATGCTCCAGCCAGTGAAAAACGCGTGAGCGCGGCAGCGAAGAAGACATAGTCCTGATAGCCCAACTGAATGTTCGAATGCTCGCCGATAATCGCCTCATTTGATGAAAGACCTCGGCACATTCGCTGTCCTAAGACTTGCAAAGTCTTTGTGCGCCCCCGGCTCCGCCCCCCCCCCCCCCCCCCTGCACCGGTCTGGCACGGGACCGATGTCTCGCTCGCCTTGGGAGACCTCGGGCTTGGGATCCTTCGGCTTTTTTTCTCGATTCCGAAGATGTGGACATGAAGAAGACGGGGGCGGTTTATCCAGACCGTCGTGCCCGTTTGGGGCATCATGAGGACCCGAAGGCACTGCAAGACATGACTGTTTGCTATATATCGGATCCAAAAGACGGTGATTTTCCCATGCTCTCCCTGCTTATAGTAGCTGTCGCAGATATTGGGAGTGTTTTGGAATTTTCCGGAAGCTCCATTCAACACTCGCGAATGTTCTGGAATGCCCTGCCCGAACTCGGGCTTGTTTTTAAAAGGTGAGGTGTATGTTTGGTGTCATCCAGCTGATGCGCGTTCAAGCTTCAAGTGATTCAGACGATTAGGCTTCCTTTGAGTTGAGGCGGAGGCATGCAAAGAGGGGGTTGGCATCTTGCCGCACTACAGCTTGGGCCTTTCATCCGAAGCCGTCCTGTCGTGGAGGCAGACAAAAACAGAAACAGCCAGTCCACAGTTCCGGAGTTGTGTTCCTGAGTTGTCAGGCTTCCGGACATCGCCGTGTTGGAATGTATGCTTATCGACAATGATCAACACAACAGCAAGTTGGTGTCAACAAGAAAGACCAGTCGGCTCGCTTGCATGGTCGCAATTCCTGGAGCATGCACCCAAGAAACGTGCCTCCTGTTCAGCGAGACCCATTGCTTCTGGAAGATTGAAGCAACGTCGTAAAGCCTCTGCTGCGTGAGGCCTCCGGCAGAAGTGAAGGCGGATGACCTTAACTCAGAGCTGGTATAGTTGCATGGTAGAGGCTGTCAGGCCGTGTCCTTGCACATAGCCCGAGGCTGCGAAGCCACGGCGGACTGCGGCGGAGCAGCGCGCCTACCTCGACCGCTTGGTGAAGCCTCGGGCGGAGGAGACGCAGTTGGCTCCAGAGCTGGACGAAGTGATCGTGGAAGCGGGCAGGCCGGGAGCGAATGAGCAATGTCGTGCCATGTCGTGCCATTCTGCGTTTTCGGCCCAGGCGGCTCCTGAAGAACGGGATCACTTGGCCGAGCTTCTCCAGTCCCTCCGAAAGCCGAGCAAAGAAGGCACAGAGCCGCACGAGGCTGGCGCAGGCCGGAGCTTTGGCCATCTCGAGCACCGAGCCGAAGGAGGACCTTCGAGGGCCGCGTGACTCCCTTCACTCCCGCTTGCGCCTGCCGCGCTCCCGGCCTTCCTCTGCGGAGCTCCGACGCCGCGACTCCGCCGCCGCCGCGACTCCGCTCCAGCCGCTGGCACTGAAGGCACTAGACTCACTAGAAAGTGCTCCGCCAAAGAGCCCCGCACCGGAGAGTCCTCCGCCAGCGCCTGCTGAGCAGGAGGTCTCGGCGGAAGGCCTGGAGCAGGAAGAGACGCCGAGGCCGGAAGCTCCGGAAGCGCAAGCTCGGGAAGCGCCGGAAGCGGAGACGGCGAAGGAGGAGATGCTTGAGGAAGAGCCCGAGGTGGTCTTGGAGGAGTCCATGGACCTCGAGGCTGTGGTCGAGTCCACCGGCGCTTGGCTGGAGCGGCTCCTGGGTCCCGCGAAGTTTGGGATCGACCAGAAGCGGTCCTGCAAAGAACAGCAAAGGCGGCTCGAAGAGTTGGCAAAGCCGCGTCAGGTGAAGGAGCCCGGGCCCGAGCCCGCCGCCAAGCCCACCAGGCCGAGGTCTCCTCGCTCGCAGAGAGAGGCGTGCAAGAGGCTGGCGCAGCCTCGCAAGCCCAAGGCGGAAGAGCCGCCGTCAGCGGACCAAGCGGCTCACGCTCAAGGCGAAGAGGAAGAGCTGGAGACTCAAGGCCAGGACCAGGAGCCAGGAGGCCCTTCGGTTTCGGATCCGCTGGAGGAAGCGCTGGAGGAGGTGCCGGTAAAGATCATCCCGTCCTTGCTGGCGCAGTGCCCCTCCCGGCTGGAGCGCATCGACGAGGAAGCGAAGGAGGCCCGGGCCCAGGCCAAGAGGGAGTCCTTGCGAGCACGATCCCGAGGCCGAGGCCACCGCTCCCCGGGCCGCACGCGCTCCCAGGGCGCCTCCCTGCGTGGAGCTCCGGCTCCCTACGCCGTCCCCGTCGTCCCAAAGCACCTCGTGGACGGACCACCGCGGCCGGAGCACACGAAGGGCAAGGACCCGAAAGGAGAGAAAAGGCGGCGCACGTCCGGACCAGGCGCGAACGGACCGAACGGCCCGAGCAGTGCAAGTGGCGCAGACAGCCCGGAGGAGGAGTTGAGCCCGGAGGAGGCGGCGAAGCTTCTCAGCTTCTTAGGTGAGGAGGGTGTCTCCGAGGGCCACGGCGAGGGGAGTGCAGCGTGTGAGCAAATGTTGCACAGCATCGATGCCCTCTACACTCAGTTCATGGCCGCTACCAGCGACACCGGTGTGATGCCTGACGGCAACAGCTCTGAGGCACAAGCTGAAGGAGATCTCGAGACCTTGGAGGGCACGGACGAGCCGTCTGGAGCTTCCGAGACTCAGCTTCCCCAGCCACGTGAAGGCGAGGATCTGCTGGCCGACATCGACCGGCTCTACTGGGAGATGCTAGATGCCAGGCATGGGGACTCCCCAGACGAGGACTCCATGCCCGCTGAGGAGACAAGCAAACCTGCAGAGCCCACGGTCTCTGCACCGCTCCCGTTCCCCTTGGAGGTGCCCCAGGCTCCAGAAACGCGGCCCCAGGCAGAGACGGACACGGAAGAGTTGCCGGCTTTGCTGGAGGAAGTGCTCTGGAGCGCCATCCTCCTGACTCGAGGAGCTGCGGGTCGCAAGCTGGAGTCTGGCATCGCAGAGGACGGACCCCTCAATGTATGCGATGTCACTCAGCCAACACGTAAGCATGCCAACGTCGGGCAATGATGAAGTTTCGGGAGTCATCGAAGGGTTTGCAAATCCTACCTAGGCAGCGGAGGGGTTGCAGAGGATGAGCATGAGAGATGCTTTCGCAAACGCCAGCAGACGCACAACCACGGTTCTGTAGCTTCGCCAGTGACATGTAAGTAAGTGGCCCCCGGCGCTGTTGTGACCTGTATGTTATGTGCAGGCGCGATTGCTGCAGCTGCTGCCGCCGGCCCGCTTGGCCCAGGCTCCTCTCCGAAGCACAATAATGAGATGGGCCGTAATTAGACGACAGCAGAGACATACTAGTAGCGGCAGTTACAGTATTGCCTGGAGGCCGCTTCCCTGGTCGCCTTGCCGAACAGCCTTTTGCAGCGCCTGGCGTCTGAGCTCCCAGAGGCCGGGCCCGGAGCTGGCCGCTGGCCTTTCGCTGTCGCGAGCTGCCTCTCCTGTTCCTCTTGGCTCCTCCGCGTTCGGAGCCGCGGTGTTCAGGTGTGCGCCGCTCTGAAGGTCACGGAGGACCTGTGCCCTCCGGGCACAGAGCAGAGAGTGACGCTGTTCCACGCGGTTCGGGAGGCCCGGCAGAACCCACAATGCCGATGGCTTGTAGAAATCAATACTGGTACGGCCAATATCAATACGGCTCTAACTATCATCTCATATCATATAGCATATAAAAGGGTCATAGGCAGGCTACAGTAGTGACAGCAATCTGTCCGAAGCTCTGCTAGGCCCGAGATCGCCTCTTGGATTCTGCGGCTTCTGAGAGCGTGGCTGGGGCCTCCTCGCGGCCTTCGTCTGGAAGGCCTCTGCCAGATTGCCCAAAGCCTGGTAAGTCGCAGCCTACGGCCTGCCTGTCAACCGCAGCGTACTGTAGCGGGTTTCCTCGCAGCATGTCACGTCATATCATATGAGCATTACGTACTACACAGAGCTCTACGACGCTACCTGTATGAAACAGAAGCAACTTGTGCTTTCGTTTCACTCTTCGCTGCAACGAAGATTTGGAAAGCAGGTCCAGGCCCTCGGCCTCGAGCAAGCGGCTGAAATCCAAACCTCGAAGGCTAAACGGGATTTTGGGGTTTTGGGGTTCATGGTTCAGGGAGTTTAGGGTTTAGGGCTTGCGCTGGTTCGGGATTCAGGGTGCCGGGTGTGCATCAGGGTCGGGGAGTCGGGTTCAGGGCAGGTGTGTTTGCTGTGTTCACTTGTGTGTCAAAGAAAGTAGACAGGCTTTCAGTGTTTATGGCTTATGGGTTCGGTGGTTGATACAAGAAGGCTAGAGTCTAAACATGACTGATGGGACATGCCGTTTCCTCGATCAAGGTGCACCATGCAGATCCAAGTTCCAACAACTCTCCTACAGTCATACGATGTGTCATGATGACTTGATGGGTCGGAAAGAGGCACATCGATTGACATGCATGGACACTGCAGAATTGAATGTTGAAGGTCAACAGAGTTTTCCAGCCTCCAGTGTCAGAGTCTTTGTCCCTTAGTCGCTCTCCTGGTCGCCCCACGTACTCCAGCAACACGACGTGATAGATCAAGAACAGCTGGTTCTCGAGTACGTATGTCTGTACGTATGCATGCGTGCATGCACGCATGCATTTGCACTCCTCTCTCCCTCTCTCTCGCTCTGTCAGGAGTAGCATGAGCTACTGGACGGACGAGTCACTGGATGCTCTGGAGGCCAACTTGAAGCGCACGGAGCATAGTACACTGATCTTGAAGTGCACTTGGGATCCTTGGCCAACTCAGTGAAGCCGCCCGCGACCTGCAGGCTCCGAAGCGAACGGCGGGGCGCTAAGCACTCCGTGAGGCATTCTTTCCACGCGAGAGGAGCGGAGCTTCCAAAACCAACCCCCCCTAACCCGCTCTAGAATGAAAGGAGGAAGGTGTCCTTCGCCCGCTTTCCTCCTATTGTTTGCACTGCTGCCATGTGCCATGAGCTGACAGACCCACTCGGCAGATTCAAAAATCAAGAAAGAGCCACCCTCTGTCTGCTCCTGGTCGACGGCCCAGTCGCTCATCAACAAGCTGAGCAGGGCGTCCCGGAATGATGTACAAACCTACCTGTGTATTCCAACGTGAGCAGCAAGCTTGAATCGATGAGTCAGCAGGAAGTTGAAAGCTCGAAAGGAATCCATGATCTGCATAAGCTTTACCTGGAACTTCAGCGAGCTGCAGCGTTTCACCTAGGTCTCATGTAAGGCCAGCCTGCATGCTTCACAGCAGCGGGTCTCCTGTTTGTGCTTGAAGGGCAGCTTGGTACATGCAAGGAGTTGGAGAGTAGCAGATGTCGGGCACAGAAGAAGACCCGACACTGTGGTTTCACTCGCACGCATCGGCGGTTTTCAGACGAGCCGGCAGCCAGCCCATGACTGCAAACAAACGCGTGTGCATGCAGGCGGGTCGGAGTCAGCAAGTTGAGTCAGAGTGTGAGATTGAAAGGGCCGTCAATCGGAGTTGCCAACATTCAGTGGCAGATCGTGAGCTGCGAGCACCTAGCTGCCTAGCTTCGGCCAAGCCTCAGAATGAACCTCGGCTGGAAGGGTTTTAACCCGATAAGGTGAGTACGAAGTGCAGCAACACACAACGTAACTCTTCATAGGCACATTGCGGCCTTTGATGGACTTCCAAAGCACTGGATGCTACAAGTAGGTTGGATAACACATTCGATTGCAGCATGTGGTAAGACGCAAAGATCATATGCTGCAAAACGGAGTAAGCATGCCGTCCGTGTCTTGTTTCAGTTCGTCTACAGCTTGGCCTGGTTCCATTTGCTAGGACTGTTTGACCACGACAGTGGAAAGTCGCGATCACCCTGGCCGCAGCCCTGAGACATGACGAAGCGCAGCTCGGACAGGGTCAAGCCCAGCACGGTTTCAGAGCGTTACAAATGCTGTGCTCTTGATATCTCTTGATATGTTGAACTTTCCTGCCGACAGCAGATCATGCCTTGAACATGCCATGGAGAAGCCTGTCGCGTTGCTGCTGGCCTTGGCGGCCATGTTCCTCTGGGGTTCCTGGGCAAACACCCTGTTGTTATCCCGCATCCGTTTCGAGCTGCTCGGCGAACAGAAGCTTCTTGCAGACAGCCTTGTACCAAGCTTGCCGAAGTGTCTTAGATGTAGGCACCGACGTGGATGCAGCGAGGAGCATGAAAGGGGGGGGGGGGTGCGAGAGTGGCCGGAGATTTCCGGGGACTCCTGGTCCCAAGTCGCAAGGTTGTACTTCTTCGACTATGTGCTCGGCCACCTCCTGGCAGGTTGTTTACTGCTGCAGGACCTCGATCTGCAGAAGAGCTGGCTCAGAAACCCTCTTGATAGATGATGTTGGTGGGCTTTTGCATATCGCGCAGTGCAACTCAAATGGGTGATGCCCAAGGTAGGTGGCGTTTGAGTTCGGTGAATGACTCAGTGAAGCAAACAAAGCCTACCCGTTTCCAGGGACACAGGGGTGGGAAAGGCTCTGGGGGCAGGTATCAACTTTGGATGTAGGACGTTGGGGGTTTGGGGGCATGGTCAAAATCACGCACAGGGCTTAAAAAGGCTTACCACCTAGAGCTCGGAAGTGAGCATGTAAACCGGAAGTAAAATTGGGGGAACCCCAAAACGAGGAGGAAACCTGGAAACGAAAACCATGACGAGATGTTTGATCGGAAGATTACCGACGAGGTCAACTGTCTCGTTGGTGTTTCTTTAGCATTCTTTGGCTGTGGCCTTGGCAACAGGATGCGGCACCTTCTCTGCAGGCTGCAGCCGGAGATGCTTCTGGCATTGTAGTCTTCGTGATCAGTGCTCTGGCTGGCGTCCTTTTTGCCCTAGGCCGGGCAGCGGGTGCAAAGGTGAAGCATGGGTGAAGTTGTAAAGCCCAGAGGTGCACTGTGCGGCACTGCGAGGCTCACTACTAGCTGTCGCTTCCATCGATCTGGCTGGCATGGCTCTGCCGACCATCATCTTGCTGGGTGTGGAGATGGCCCTGGGCGTACCGTTCCTTCTCTTCGTGGAGGGTTGGGGCTCAGCTGAGCATGTGCTTTTGTCCTTCGCAGGTGCCTTGGGGCTGGGGCCGGGGAACATGTTGCGACATCTTGCGAGCGTTTTGCGTTCTGCGCAGCAGGAAGTCTTTAAGTTGGGAATCAGGCGTGCTTGCCGTTCTGGTTGCGACGTTGCTCGACGGCTGGTGTCACTGGAATCTGCAAAAGGACTGCGCCTCGGAAGAGCGAGACCAGAGAGACCAGATCCTGCCTCCATGTTTTGGATGTATCTCGAGACTCTGCCGCGCTTCAGCACTTCTTTTGCTGGGCTGTAACAGCAGGCGACCAGAAGTAGCGAATACATCGGATCCATCTGTAGAAAGACAACTTCGCAAATCCAGGAGCCAGTTCAGCAGTTTGAGCTTTTGGTCCTTCCGGGCCACTTCCGTGGCCGCTGGCTCCTTCGCGCGGAGCCTGAACTCCACGGCTGTGACTTTTCTGACCCACGGCTCTGCACTGCCTATCAGCTCCATCGGCTCCCAACAGGCCGCGAGCCGAAAGTCTCGGTCACACCAGCCTCGCATCTGTATCGACCTGTCTATCAGTCTTTGTCTATATTATCTATAAGTCGAAGTCTATATCTGCGCTTATATCTATCTAATCTACCTACCCATTATCTATCTGCTTCAGTTGTACTTCTCTCTCGTGTCTCTTTCTTTTTTTTCTTTCTCTCTCTCTCTCTATTGCCAGAGCGCATCTATCGCAAGACCTGCTGTACTACAGGTTCTGACGGTGTCGGGCGGCTGGGCGAATGCCCGCGCAGTGAAACGAGGGAATCTTGGCCTCACCTTTGCAGCCATCGGAGGCTTCTGCTTCGCCCTTTGGCCCTGCATAAGCTCCTGCGTCGAGGGGCAGACGCAGTGGGGCAATGCTTTTGCAACCCAGCTCAATGCATCGGCCTTCTTCTTTGTTTATGCCGCTTGCATGCATGGAATGCGAGCCGAAGCGCTTCGCTTCCACAGCTTTTGCAGCTCAGCAGTGTACAGCAGTCCGGAAAATCTGCAAAGGTTGGGGGGCCGGTGACCCTGAGGCCGTAGGTGCGCTGCTGGCCGCCCTGCTGCTACTGCCGCCCCTGTGCCGCTGGCCGCTGCACTCAGGCCGAGAGCGACGAGAGAGCTGCGCGCAGAAAACGACTGCTTTTATTCTGAGAAGCTCGCTGCTGTGCAAGGTGTCAGCTTGAGCTTTTGGTCAAGTTATTTGGAGCTGCGCGCATGGAACCACTTTCTGGGCTTGGCCGGTGGCTTCGCGCATGGATGTGGATCCATGCTCTCCCTGCAAGCAGGCCATAACAATGCGTGAGGATGGTAGGATTGCGGGCGGCTAGCTGGAGAGTCGGCTGTTCAAGAGTCGTTGTCTTGCTTTCCTGGTGTGCACCTGTTTTGCTAGTTTTGCTAGTCGCTAGTACAGACGCCGCAACGCGGAAAACGTAATGCGAAGAAAGACCCGCCTGCATTGATCCGTAATCTCGAGGCCTAGAGAGCTGTTACTGTTCAGGCCGTGTCCTGGGCAATACCGTGGCCTTGTCCATCACTCGCTGCCAGCCACTGGCGCCTCGGATCAAAGAGGCAGAGTTCACGTGCTCAAGGGCAGGGGCCAAAAGGCAGTCGCGTCGCGGCGTCGTTGCTAGGTTTGTGCCAGTTGGGCGGTGCTCATCTGGGGCGAGCTGCAAGGTGCAGGGAGGAAGACCAGTTGCTTCTCGGCGGCTTCGGATTCGGGAAGCGTGCCACAGTCATTTCCTTCAGAGGATTTGGGGGTTTACCGAGGCCTCTTTGCCAGCATGCTCCTCGCGTTTACAATGGCGGTGGTGTTGTTTCTGCTCGCGGGACTCAGTGGCTGACGAGTCCAAACAGTCGATGGTTTGCAGCTTTTGTCTGGCTG